TTTCTTCTGCTCCTCTGAAGTTCTTTACCAACTGCAGCCAGATTTAGGCAGCTTAATTAATTAGCTAGTGTTTATAAAGCGTTTGAAGAATTTTAAAAGTGCGATGTAAGTGCCAAACATTATTTTAATCTGGGTGTATGTGCTCTTTCCAACAGAGAGCTTTTTTCCCCTTTTCGCTTGCTCACTGTCTTTTCTTTTGCTCTGCAGGTTCTGTTCTGGGAACTAGGCTTGTTAAAAATCAGTCCTGTGGTCTGAGCCTGGGGTCACCACGCTGGCACTGCCAGTGAAACCATTTCCTGCCCTCCTTGGCCTCCTGGCAGAGCATACAACCACTCAAAGGCTTGAAGGAGACAGTGCCTATGTAGGTGTTGCCACATGCTGCTGGCAGGAGGGGAAAGCAGTTTAGCAGGGTGGACCAGCCATGTGACAGCTTCTCACCAGCCTGTGCTGGGCATTTCCACAGGGACTCAATTTCAGATACAGGTGGGTCTCCTCCATAAAAACCTTCCAAATTGACAGGGCTGGGAAGTGAATGATGGCTTATCCTACAGGTGACTCACAGGCAGTCATAATAAACCATGGTGACATGGATGCTTCTCATGGTGTAATCTACAATAATATGGTGACTATGCAAATAAAACCTGTTGCAAAGCATTTAAAGGAAACAAAAAGTCTAAAGCCAAAATGACAATCTTGCAGAGGACTTGGGTTCAGTTCCCAGCATCCACATGATGGCTCATAATTGCCTGTGACTTCAGCTCCAGGATAATCCAACATGCTCTCCTGGACGCTGAGGACCCCTGCACCCACATGCACACATACATAATTATAATAAATATTTAAAAAACCCATATAATACTATCAAACTGCAGTCAACGCTTTGACCTACAGTACTTAAAATAAGTGATAAAAACAACATAAAATCATACCTTCAGATAACTAAGGGCATGTGAAAGCACTTAGGAACATGTGCAGTTCACTTAAGCATTCCTGGAGCAATGAGAAAGAGTTTGAGGATCTCTAACTTCCAAGGAAAGGAAACTGGTTAATTCCACTGTGAATCCATTTGATAGTCAAGTTCACAGCCATGAAAGATGGTACAGAATCACAAAAGAAATATGCTGACAGCCAGAGTAGGTTACTCAGCGACATTCACTTTGACCTCAAACCTTGAGTTTTAAGGGAACAAAAGGCTATTAAGGACTACCAGTGATTACTTCTGAGTGGTGGATTTGCACGGTGTATGTACTCCTTATCTGCATTATTTGTGTGAAACAAAAGTCAAAGGGTGACAGTGGCTCTATAAACTTGTACTATACATGAATGACTGCAAGATGCTACCCAAAGTTAGGAAATGCAACTGGCTTTGGACCATGGATCTAAAACTGACGGAGCTGCTCCTTTTTTAAGAATATTTTTAATTGTGTGTGTATGAGAGTGAGTGCTGGTGCCTATGGAGGCCAGAGGCATTGGATCCCCTGGAGCTACAGTTACAGATGGTTGTGAGCCATCCAACATGGGTGTTGGGTACTGAACTTGGGTTCTCTACAACAGTGGTATTCACTCTTAACTGCTGAGCAATCTCTCCAGCCCGCATGCTCTTTCTTTTTTAAATTCTACTTTGGATATCTTTCAGATTTTTCTAAGTTGGATGAACATTAAAGAATATATATAGTTATGTGAGGGTATAGTTCTGTGACACAATACTTGCCCAGCATGTATGAGGCCCAATACTACCCCTCAACCCCAAAAGAATACATATAGTATCTCATTATGTTTAAATAGATTTGCACATGCAATATGCATGCTACATGTATGTTTGCTGTTTGAACGAACCTCTCTTCCATTTTGCTCATTGCTATGGCCCCAGCTCCTGATAACTGTGCTTGGGACAGAACAGATGCTCAGTAAACATTTGCTGATAGATTGATCAGTCACATGTCTAGGGAAAGAGGCCTGGAATCCTAAAATGGACACCACCATGTTGTAGTGCTCTACCTGGGAATGAGAGGTTGGGTAGAAGAGCCACAGTCTCACATCACTTTACAGTAAGCAATTAAAGTATTTCTTTTCATAGTTAACATCTAATGCTTCTGAAAAAATACAAATAATGAAGAAAACGGAAAAAATACAAATAATGAAGAAGATGTGAGTACGCTTTCTAGGGAGACGTATCTACCCTGTATGTTTGTTACTGTGGAAGTCAGTGATGAATCACTGGATCCCCCTGTGTGCCAACGGCAGTGGATGGCTATGTCTCTGGCCTCATGGAGTTGGCATACGAGTTGTGAGGACAGATTTTGAAGAAACGTGTAAATGACTACATTCAGAGTACACCCCAGCCACCTTCTGCCCCTCCTGGTAACCCCACTAACCCATGACTTCGAATTCTATCTTCCACTGGCCAATATGTCACATTTGACTACTGTGTCAAATGTCACCAAGAGATGCAGTAGGTGGGGCTGAAAGCTGACTAGTGAGCTTGGAACATACTTCACTTTAAAAAAATGTCTATATGTGGCTTCTAAGATGAAGAAAAATGAAAATTATTTCATAAGAAGTAAAAAACAAGTAGGAA